AAGAAGAAGAAGAAGAAGAAGAAGAAGAAGAAGAAGAAGAAGAAGAAGAAGACAACGACAAATGAACTTAAATATAAAACAGAAACAGATAGACATAGAATACGAACTTGTGGTTGCCAGAGGGGAGGAGGGTGGGAAGGGACAGGCTGGGAGTTTGAGATTTGTAGATACTGACAGGTATATATAGAATAGATAAACAAGTTTATACTGTATAACACAGGGAAGTATATTCAAGATCTTGTAGTAGCTCATGGTGAAAAAGAATATATGTATATTCATGTATGACTAAAAATTGGGCTGTACACCAGAAATTGACACAACATTGTAAAATGACTGTAACTCAATAAAAAAAACATGCAAACTATAGCAAGCTACATTTAAGTCTGCTGAGGGGTTGAGGTAGCCTGTGTTTATGGGCAGGGAATGTATAGAGAGGATTCAGTTAGAGTCTCCTGAAGTAAAAAACAGAGACCAGCTTTGAAAATTCCCCAAGCAGATACAACCAGTCCAGTTATACAACAGAGCTCAAGTCAGTTCATTTTGTGAGACCATTTCTTCTTTATGCCTATGGAAACCATAAGCAGAATTTCTCAAGGTTGATATGAAGTCACCCCTGAGCAACTCCCTATCATTTAAGAAAATACCAATATTATCAGTTTCTGTTAATGAGGCATTTATGAAAAATCAGTCTCTCAGTTTTTAAGTTTTGTTTCCCTTAAGTTATATCCTCAGGTTCCATTGTAGATTGAAATACTTTCACAGCGCCTTCACTTAGGGGAGCCTCAGTGTAGTCATCAGGGAAAGAAGAATGATTCCAGTCGACCCTCCCCACAGCCGTACACTATGTGTAAGGTCAAAATGAGATTCAGATGCAAAAGCACTTGGGTTGGGACTATGTGAGGCCCCCGCAAGGTAATGGGGAAAGGAGACCAGCATCGTGACTCAGCTAAGGTCAGTGGCTCTGTGGCTGCCTTGCCTCACCCACCTCTGAGCCACGCAAATTCTGGCTGACACCATTCCCTCACCTGGAGGGTCCTTCCTGCAGCCCTCAGTGCACCCATATGACTCCATCTTCCTTTTAGGAAGAGGTAGTGTCCCTCTGGTTTAGGAATCAAAACTGTATTCAGATCAGTGCCAGCCAGCCTGCTGCATGGTTTTGGTCTCAACAGCTCCACTCCTCTTAGAAAAAGTCCTAGATCCTTCAAATGGCTGATAAGACCTACATCTGTACTCCTTGAAGTGAGTGTCCTTTTCTGGACACCTTCCTCAGCCTCACTTGGGGAAACAGATAAAAATGCAGGTGCTCTGGCTGAGGCTCAGTGGACGGTGGGCTCCAGAGCTGGCCTTGGAAACAGCTCCCCTAGGAGATCCTTATGCCCATAGGGTTTGATTACCTGAAGGACCTGACTCCTACCCAGCTCTCTAGACTTGTTTCACTCATCCTTCCCCCTCAGCCCCAATCCCTCTGGCCTTCTTTCAGATCCCTGATTAGGCCCAGTTTCTATCTGCCTCGGGGCCACATGCCTCCTTCCTGGGCACAAAGCCTGGCACCCCAACTCTGCCCCACGTGGGACAGAGGAGGGTTGGCCTGCATTCCTCCCGGTGCCCTCTCTCCCACCCCTGATGGGCTTGTCAGGAAGATTCCAGGGCAGAAAGGCCCTTCAAAGTCCTGCCTCTTGGGCCAGGCACAGCCATTTGTCATCTGGGATGGGTCCTCTCACCAGCCCCCAAACCCCACCTGCCTTTCCTACCTTGACCTCTCCACCAGGATACTCTGTCACTGTGGGAAGACACTGAGTAGCAAGAGTGAAAAGCTGTGGAGAGAGACAGACCTGCACTCTAATTCTGGCTCTGGTCCATGTTTGCTGCAAAATCCTGGACGAGTTACTAAACCTCTGAGCTACTCAGAGACATAGAGGTAGTTATCTGCATGCAAATAATTCACTTACATGTATGAGGTGCAACAGCCAATACGCTGTTGTTAATGAACAAAAGCAAAACAGGATTTTTAAAAGAGGGGAGAGAAGAAAATTTGCCTGGGAGCAGTGATTTTGTTTTTATATATTCTTTGTCAATTGATAAGTAGGTGGCTGGGTGAGGGGCCCATTTAGGCAATCAGTCCTGACCAGGCCGGCTGGCCCTTGGAAGGCAGCAATTTTCATTGTTTACAGATTCTCTGGGAAGCTTGAGAGTTTAGCGTGTGGTACACAGGAGGGCAGACTCTGTGAGGTTCCCCGTGCCCCTCCCTTAGGCTGGGTCCTCATCACTTTCTCATGGGAATCTCTGCTAGTAACTACCTCCCGGGGTTAGAATTGAGAAGGTTTTATGGGTCAGTTCCTGTAAACGTTAGAGCAGCGCACGAGAGTCTGCTATAATGCTTGTTTCAGAAATGCTAATTTGTTCCAGTGCGATTGATATATGAGGGAACAGTCTGAACTTACTGCAAATTTTACATTTGCTTATGAATGATGAGAAACGCTAAGTGAAAGCAGAAAACTGCACGCAGCTGACCCGAGCCACTGAGGAATATGAAAAACGCATACATGGCCACTCCGCAGACATCTCCAGCTTCCTCAGTTCACCACATGTGCTATGAGCCACATCCTTCCACATCTGGCATCAGATAATTGATACCCTCCACCCTCCACTATAACACACAGCCGCCCACGTCCAGGAGCCAACATCTTTTCCAACACCCGCATTCAGAAGCCAACCTCAAATCTCTCTCAAGGCCAAGCGCCATACTTCTTGTAGTAGTCAGGTATTTCTTAACCATTCAATGTGCAAAACCTTCCTACCATTTTTACTAGGTATATTTTTTATATGTCACTGACAAAGTCTGAGTATTGTGTCCCAACCCCATTTTCCCCATAAGCCCTGTGACTTTTCAGTCCATGATTCTGCAGAGCACTGTGAATTTTAGGAAAGCGTATGTAGTGTTATAGCCAGCACCAGCCATGTAATTTGTGGGGCCTAATGTGAAATGAAAACGTGAGGCCCCTTGTGAAAAAAAATGAAAAAACTAAGAATTTCGAGATGATGGCAGCAGAGCTTTAAACCAAGCCCAGTGCCCTCCTAAGCCTGAGGTCCTGTCTGACCGCACAGGGACATACCCATGAAGCCAGCTCTGGTTACAGTGGAACTGACTGTGCCAGCAGGTGGTAAGTACTTGATAAATGTTAGTTGTCATTTCTATTTTGGTTTCTTTAATATTTAAGCTATTTTTTACATTGTAAAGCAGAAATTCTATAAAGACCCAGTTAATTATTCATCCATTTGACAAATATTTATTGAGAATCATTAGGGGTCAGGCACTGAGCTGGGCACAGAGACCTGGGGGAAGGGAGTACAGGGCACTTGAGTGAGTCTCCCCAGTAAACCCAAGGGAGGAGAAAGAGCCAACAAGCTGAGCCAGTCAGACTTGGGGATCCCTCAGTCTTGGATGTTGGGAGATAAATCCCCATTGGTCTCTCATATTTCTGCAAGTCCCAGAAGCAGAGGTACTGGGGGGAAGGTATAACTCAAGTGGTGGAGTGCATTCTCAGCATGCACGAGGTCCTGGGTTCAATACCCAGTACCTCCTCCAAATATAAATAAATTAGTAAACCCAATTACCACCCCCCTCATAAAAACAAAAGAAGCGGAAGTACTGACAGCCTTTTGTTTTACACTATCTTTTCAAGGGTGTTTATAAAGTGTGAACAGCCTTGGAAGACAAAGCTAGTGTCTCCCTCAGGGACAAAAGGCAAATGTGTTTGCAGCCCAATATAATAACAATGATCTCTACCTCTGGGGAAAGTTTGGGAAGGTTTTCTTGCAGTCCCTTAAAAAGATTGGGGTTTCCCTAAAGTAAGGGTTCCTCGGCTTTGATGCAAATCCATTGTGTCCCAGAATCCACTTGGGCCTGCCTCTGCATCGCCCTATGGGACTTTGGGGACAAGGGAAGCCAATGTGAACGTGAAGATCAGGTTCCCCGCTGCACCTGGAGTCACAAAGTCCTTTGTCTCTGATGCATGAGTCTCCTGTCTTCTGCCTAAATCCATGAAAGTATGGCAGACCCTTCACAGTTTTGGACATCAGGTAGGTCTGTCTTTTCAGCTCAGTAAATGGAATGTAAAGTCATGGTGCACAGGCCAGTCCAGGAGGGACAAGGAGGAGAGGCAAGGCTGGGGCCCTGGGCACCTAGGAAACCTCCTAGCAGGAGGGCAGGTGAGGAAGCTATGGTTGGTTTGCCTGGGGGGATAGAAAGAGCCTCAGCAAAGACCTGATGAATAAGCTTCAGTCAAACCCTGAGGCACTGTGAGGACCAGTCAGGCAGAGTGGGAAACACAAGAGATGGCAGCAGGGTGAAGGAAGCCCTGGAGGCAACATGAAGGAGGGCCTCCTCCCCAGCAAGTAGGTGTAGGCCAGAGTCAGAGCTTCCTGAGCCGGGGCAGGAGATGGCAGCAAAGCCAGAGAGGAAGGGTCTGAGGTCTCAAAACACCAGAGGGAAGCTGGGAGTCCCTGGCCAAGGCTATTCCTGCAAAAAGTCCCTCCTCCCTGAGATGAGGACTTTCACATCCTCATCCCCACCCACCTTCTCTCTCTCACTTCCCTCTGCCTCCATCCCAGGCAGAAAACAGAAATACCCACCCAAGGAAATCTCCAAACACAAGTGCCCTCTGCACAAAGCCCCCCTCCCAACCCTCACCTCCCAGCACAGAAAGACAGGAGATGCTGCTCCTTGCAACGGAGGCCCCTGGGATGCTCCTCAGCCTCTTCTCTGCAATTTTCCTCCTTTCTGAGGCTTCCTCCACTCAGGGAAGTCACTCTGGATTCCAGCCAGGTACCCAAAGGATTTCACCTGCATTCTAGAGAATTTGGGTGAGTCAGCTACGAGTACATCTCACATTTCTCATAGTGCCACACAGATTGGCAGCATCAAACTACTAACACCTTGTAGGAGCTCTGGTTTCACCACCTCATTTATTCTTGTTACATCCCTCCACCCCTACACCTGGGTTGCATCTGCAGGGGCTGGACTCCTGATCTGCCTCAGTCAGAACGAGTTCCTATGTCCCAGGGACTCCACCCACAGTGGCCCTTTCCCATGGTTCAGAAGTTCAAGTTCTGGCCTGGATGCCTGAATCAAACCTCTACATTTGCTCAGCACTCCTCTCCTGGCCTCCCCACTTTCTCTTTGCCTTCCTCACCCTCTGCACTCATCTGATGAAAGGCTGTTCTTTGGGCCCTGAGAAGTGTGCAAGAAGTCATTGTTTTGCTTTGTTTAATGCACTGGTCACTTATACAGAAGCGCAGACTCACAGACATGGAGAAAAACGAGTAAATTTTACCTTTGCTTCTCATTCCTGCTGAGGGCTGGTGGGGAGGGAAGGCAAGGCTCTAACCAAAGAATAAGGGTTTTGTTTCATGCTCTT